TAATTTAAGAATAATATATAAATTATTCTTTAATTTGAGTGCTCCAATTAAAACAAGCTTGGAAGCAGGAGTGACATTCACTTCTGTAAATAGCTTGCCTCTGGAAACTCTATGAACCTAGAGAAAGGATGAAAGTCATGCAAGTGTTGAGGACTTTCATTCATTGGGTCGCTATGAGTCGCCTACGACGCGACGGCACTTACCACCAACAACCACATATAAGAATATTATTATTCTTTTAAGGGACCTCAGAGATCCCTAGGAGGGGCCTTGGAAATCTTGGCTAATTGTTCCTATCAAGGTCTAGCTGTGAAGGACAGAATGGAAAAATGTCCTCCATATGAATTAAACCAAGGTCAGAAGAAGTAGAATACCATCACCTATTTCAGTGGCTACCATTTTCCAATTCCCAGGAAAATGTGCTGAGAAATTTGCTACACTATCTTATTTAATTCTTACTATCAAATAAAGTCAGTTATTATGATTTCTATCCATAAAAAACCCTCTACCCATAAAGGTAGTTTATGCTCTTGGAGTACTTGAAAAAAACTTGCCAAGTTTTCTAGTGAATTTCCAGCAAAGCTTAGATTTGAGGTTATTTCTCTACTTGAATCTTAAGCACTGCCAAGCTCCTCTGGTGGTCTAGTGGATGTTGGAAATAAATACTTCTGGTTCCATGTCACTTGTCCTATTATGAGTATATTTATAGAATAATGCATATAACCTTTGCATATGTAGCAGGCAGGGCAAAGTGTATAGCATCTATATACAACACCTTAATTAAAAAATACTCAGAGATTTTTCTTAAAACAATCTAATTTAGATTCACAGTAAAAAGAGTATTAATAACTGTCTTGTCAAACTGGTTAAAAAAATCTCAAATAATTGGACTATCAAAGTAATCAAAAGGAGCCCAATATAACACCCCAAAATCAACTCATTAAATGACTGAAGGTCAAACCTACATGGATCCATCCCAGAGTGAGGAGATCGTGCTGATCCTGAACACTGAATAGTTCTTCTACGTTCTCCATGTCGCAATAGTCTGGTCCCGCAGACTGCTTTGGCACTATTACGTGGGTAATAGTAAATTCATTATGTGTCTAAAAAAATAACAAGCATCCGACTGAAATAACCTGAATGAGAAGTGCTCAGCAGAGTTTTGCTGCAAGACTAGAGCGTCCTCCTATGAATTGTTATCATGCCCCTTCCCTAGCACAGTTCAAAAGCACTATCCCAAATCGGAAAATGGATTCTCTCAGAGTCAGTGGTTTGAACTTGAAATGCATGTTCTCAACAGACATGTATCATAAATAGGAATTAGTGTCCCAGGCTGGTTTATGAAAATGCAGTTAATAAATTAGGCCTTCAGACAGTAAAGTAGAAAAATTCAAACGGATGAGAAGTTGCTAGTAAAATAATACTCATAAGGACTGTAGGGATTGACAGCCTTGATTTTGTTTTATTAATTATATTTAATTTTACATTTAAGAATTTCTTCTAAGACTGTGGGGAAGAGCTCATTAAGATCACTCATAATTGCAATTTTAAAAAAATTTTGCAAATCAGGTAGATTTGGAAATTTGAAGACCCATAATATACTATTTTTCTAATCAAAGATACATGCTTTGATTAATGGCTTAAAACATTTATAGTAGCCTGAGATTTTGGTCTATTTTCTAGAAAGACATTGATTACCAATGACAGTTTTACACAATTCATCTAGGTAACCTAATTTTGTAAGACATGTAATTCTTAACATACTTTACGTATTCTATGAAAGCCAGTAATATTAAAAATGTCCTGTCCAGAGAAACATGAAAACAAAGACCATACCAGTTTTCCACAGAGTATTCCACAGGTTTCTATTCCTCTTACTGTATTGGACTCTGCCAGCAGCAGAAATTTGTGGCAAAGATCTCTGGGTAAGACTACACATCTCAGTCCTTCAACCACTAAATCTAAGAAACAGAAAAAGTAGACAAAGCTAAGTAAGGTATTACTTTTTACAGACTAGTCTCCAAAATTATTTATACTAAGAAATTGTTTAGACTAAACTTCAAAAACAAGAGTATTTTGTGTCCCGTGGTCCATGTATCACTTTAAAACTTCCAATGGTAAACACTCACTCACTCACTCACTCACTCACTCACTCACTCACTCACTATTGCTGAGTTGGAACAGACTCATAGCTGATCTTCCAGTGTGTTTCCGGAGGCTGTAAATTGCACAGGAGGAGACTGTCAATCTTTCTCCCATGGAGCTTCTGGGGATTCAAACTGCCAGAGAGGCTTTGTCTTTGGACTACCAGTGCAATTCCCTATGGACCAGGCCACCAGAGTCCCTAAACACTGACTTGAAGAAAGATTTACATACAAAACTGCATACAAATTTACCTGCTCATCCATCTTCTTTATAAAGTAATTTACACACAAAATGTATGAAAATGTAAAGAAAATTAATTTTATATGTAAATTATTTTAGGACCAAGACGAGCAGGTACACACCTAAATATATGTTAATGTGTCTGTTTTGGTTTGGAATAAGCAAATATACTGTTAAATGCATAAGCAGGCCTTGCAAAGGCTGCATCTCATGCCATATAAGACAGAGAATAAGTACTTTTTTTCTATTTACTTTTGCTATTTATGCTTTTGTAAAAATTAGTGATCAGTAGGTACAATCACAAAGTTCAGAAATAAAAAGCAATCGAGTAATTTGAAAATATTTGCCTGTTACAGATCTTTTTAAATAAATGAGAACACAAATTGTTATTTGACAGTGTGTGCTGGAAGAAGTCTTCATTTGATTTTGGAAATTTCCCAGCACTGACCTAACCTACTGTTATACTGTTGTCGTTATGTGCTGTCGAGTTGCCTGTGACTCACAGCAACCCTATGTATAATAGCCCAATCCTGTGCCAGTCTCACTGACTCTGACACATCTACCCCTATTAGCCCAATTTCTGTGTTAATCCATCTCATCCAGGGTCTTTCTTTCCTGCACTGTCCTTCCACCCTTTCAACCAGAAGTCCTTCTCCTGGCCACATACCAAAGTATGAGAGACAGAGCTTCAAAAATCAAGCTTCCAAGGAGAAACTTGGTTTCACTCTCTCCAAGACAAACCTGTTTGTTTTCTTGGAAGTTCAAGGTATGCTCAAGACTCTTCTCCAGTACCATAACTCAAAGGCATCAATTCTTCTTCTATCATCCTTAATCCGAATATCTGATGTGCAGCAAGTAATTGTGAAGACCATGGACTGAATCAGGCCCATCTTAGTCCCTAGACTGACATCTTTGCTTCTCAGTATTCTGGATCCCTGATCACAGATTTTCCCAGTGCAATTCATCTTCTGACTTCCTGGCTGCTGATGCTGAGAGTGTTAATTATGGAGCAGAACAAGCTGTATTTGTTAACTACCACCTCAGTCTCCTCTCCAACTCTCACGGTGCTGCCAATTGGCCCAGTGGTGAAAATCTTTGTCTTCTTGATGTTTAGCTTCAATCTATATTGATGACTACAGCCCTTGACCTCCTGCATCAAGGATTTGAGGTCCTCCTCAGTTTCAGCAAGCAGGGATGTGTCACCTGCATTATTGTTGGCAGAAACACACAGAATTCCTTTGGAAGTTAACTACTCATGTATAAGGGAGCTCTGGTAGCATAGTCCATAGGGACTTGGTGCTGCTAATCCAAAGGTGGGTTAGCTCTCTGATGGTTTAAATTGACCAGGGTCTCAGAAAGAGAAAGATGAGCAATCTCTTCCTGTGTTAGTTACAGCCTCTAGAAAACCCTCTGTAGGGTCGGCTATGAGTCAGTTCCGAACCCAGGGCAATGAGAGAGAGAGACTCATGGACATTCAGTCCTTCTGGGCTAGAGACAATGCTAAGCTGACAGCATAAGCATTTTACTGTAAAGATCCGGATGGGTGATTTTCTCCACATCGACTTTCCCAACCGATAAAGTGCTTGATAGAGTATTATAACATCACTAGTTATAATAATGCACATTTCTTCTCTTTGAAAAGGTGTGCGCAATGATAAAATGCACTCCTGTTTTAATCTCTGCTCTACGGGAGGTGGGGGGCAAATCACGATTCAATGTGAACGTTGTTACACATGCAGGCAAATACCTGACTTGGGAGCACTCTGAATGAACTCTTTAAAGCCTGTTCTAATAAAACTCTGAGCTACCCGCAGTGATTCATAATAACAAACAGGTGATATTCTTCCATGTGCACTGAAACATCATCACAACTGCCACTGCATTATTCTGTTAAAAGACATTTTATCCTTCCTGGAAGTAGGCCTTCAATGTTTCTTTTCTGCACAGAAAGGTACATCCTATACCATAAACTGTAACTAACATTTGACGTTAGATACCAAGCAAGACTACCAAACTGTCCTGACGGAGGTAAAGTTCAACTTCAAGACAGAGTTAGGAATGGAACTGACTCATATTTCAAGAAATTGCCTGTAGCACAACACTGAGTGCCTAGGAATTGGTTAGTACAGTCTGCAACTGAAAGGCTGGAAGTCTAATTCCACCCAGAGGTGCCTGAAGAAAAACAAATCCTGGTGATCCAGCTTGAAAAATCAGCTGTTGAAAACTAGGAAGGTCCTCACGCCGGTCTTCGTGACATGCATAGTAGTCCTGCCATGACTGAGAACCAAAAGGTGAGCTGTGCCACCCATCCTCCATCATACCATCATGCTGCTGCTGTTGTGTCCCGTCAGGATGAACTCATAGCTGACCCTCCAGCAGGTTTTCAGAGGCAGTAAATGCACAGGAGGAGACTGCTCGTGCTTCTCCCGTGGAGCTCCTGGTGCATTCAAACTGTGCTGCCTTTGGGATAGCAGTGCAGCTCCTTATACTCGGTCACCAGAGCTCCCTACATACCATCATGCTGCTTTTGTTAGGTGTCGGTGAGTCAAGTATGCCTCATAGCAATCCTATGGACAAAAGATGTGAACCCTGTTTTGTCCTGCGCCATACTCACGCTTCCTGACACAAGAGCCCATTGTAGCAGTCACCGTGTCAATCCACCTGGTTGAGGGTCTTCCTCTCCTTCACCGTGTCCTTCTTCAAGGAATAGCTCCTCCTAGCAACATGCTCAAAGTATATGAGGCAAAGGCTCATAATTCTTGCCTCCAAAGAGCACTCTGGCTCTAGCCTCTCCAAGACATATTTGTTCTATCTTTTGGCAGTCCATGGGATGTGCACTGTTTTTCTCTAACAACACAGCTCAAAGGCATTAATTCTTTTTCTGTCATCCTTATTCACTGTCCAGCTCTCGGATGCATAGCAACTTAACAGAAATATGCCCTGAATCAGATGCACCTTAGTCCTCAACATCATTACTCCTCAATAATTTGGAGAGGTCACTAACTGCAGATTTTCCCAGTGCAGTCCATCTCCTTATTTCCTCACTGCTGGTACATACCATTATAGCCTGACACAATTAATAAATGGATGAGATGAGCCGCCCCAGGGGCTAACAGATGCTACCATCAGAAGAGCCTCAGAAAGCAGCCGTGGAACATCTCCTCACTTACTCTGCACAGCACTCAGAGTGGCGGCGGGCTTTAAGGCTCTGTTGACTGGTGGAGAGTGGCTAGCGTGGCTGGTTGCATCACTTCTGTTGGGTTGCTCCACAAATTCACCCAGCAAGGAGTTGTTCTGGGGTGTGGAAAAGCAGGATATAGTGCTCCCATCGATCTGCTCCGACAGCGCTGGGGCTTCCTGACTGCGCACCTGACCTCGGGCTAGTTCTTGCTTCTTGAGTTGATCTTCAAAAAACAGGAACTGCTCTGACTCTAGCTGCTGCTGGCGCATCTGAGCAATCCGCTTTCTCTCCGCCTCTATGAGTCTCTGGTGCTCCAGCTTTTTAAGAATTTCTGCCTTATATTTGTTCTAAAAAAAAAAAGTGGCAAAAATGAAAGGTTAGTTTCAAAGGCAAAAATAGCAAGTTAGATACTTTCTTACTTTCTAACAGACACATACAGTGAGAACGATGACATGCTCTCAGCGCTACTCATGATACACCGAAGAAAATAGACATCATCACAAAAACGTCCCTTAATCTGACTAGGACAGCTGTTTCAGGTCTACTCATTTTTGATCAGAGACAAGCCACGACAATCACGTTCCCTCCATTCCACTACACCTCTAAACAACACAAAAGCAAAGTCAGAGCTGTCCGTTTGGTCTGGGTAGCCTGCTCTTAGGCAATGAAGTATCTCAGAAAGAGATGCATCATCCTAAACATTTTCCCTATGCCATTCCTTAGGCAAGCTGGTCATATGTTAACTACCCAGTAGCCATATGGGAGTAGGTGCTCAGGGCTGAAGAGAGCACTGTCAGTATCACAGAAGTCTCTACTGGACAGTGTCGTCCTTGAACCTTTTGTATTTGCCTCTAGAACTCATACTGCTGGAGCATTCTGGGGACAGTGGGAGGGCTGCATAGAAGCCCTCGAGAAATAGTTCTCAAAATATAGTCCAACAATCTCTATCGAAACCAATTGGGATTTTAGCCGAAGATAGAGATTCCCAACCTCCCTACTCCTAATGAAACTATCTAGGGGTTAGGCCAGAGTGTATAAATTTTTAATAAGCTCCTCCAAACAATTCTGATTGAAATGAAATTTTGAGAACTATTGCAAGATGGGAGTGCAGTGGGGGAAGACTGTAGAGAAGCACTTTGAAGCACACACACATTACCCTCAAGAGCTTTCTGGGTTCTAATGAAGATTGTGATTAAGTCGGTCTCCAGAGTGGGCCTAGGTCTCTGCATTTCTAACGAGCTCCTGGATGAAGCTGGTAGCAAGGGTTTCCAGGTATTCTCTGTTCAACTCTGCTAAGCCATTTCTATCTCTGCCAGAGACTTCTGCATGTTATGCACTGGGGACACCATGGTTTGCTATGAAATAATTGGTATCAGCAGTAGCAGCATGGCCAAGTGCACAATATGGACTAGCTGACGAGGCTGCTCCTCTCAGGGTGTCTGGGAAAGGTACTACTCTCCACATTGTTGTGGCTTCCTTCTCCACGACTGGCCTTTGTCTATGAGATAAATTTTACCTTTTGTATTCCAACTCAAACTGCCAATAGCCACGCTTGCAGCAAATTCTGGTTTCTCTATTCCCTCTGCCATTTGGATAAAACACCTCACTGAGACCAATCTTTTGTCCACACCCACAGAAAGCAGAGTAGCTCTGTGAGCCTTTCCAAAGCTAATTTATTGAGCTGAAAAGGAAGTCAGTGGATCTGACAACCCCAAAGCAAATAGCTAATCTAAGTAAGTAAGAAAACCTTTCTAATAATGCTGTAACAATCAACAAGGTTTCATGCTTTGAGTATCTCATAAAAGGAACGGCCAATTTTTTCTTCCATGGCTTTATTCTGATAGACATCATTATCACTCTTTATCCAGTAACAATCCAGAAGTTATCACCTCTTGGTGATACAATTGGATTTCACCAACATGGTAGACTATTCTTTCATGCCAATGTAATACTGACTGAATTGAATATTCTAATTTACCTTCTCAAGGTATACATAATTGGATACATAAAAAAACTATTAACTGCTCTCTCTGCCTCCTACCGTCTCTGCTCACCCAGGAAAGAGGAGTCATCTGGTTCCAGCTCACATTGGTAAGAGTTGGACAAAAGGCTCAATTTAACTCACTGCTGGAAACCTATTTTCTAATGCACTGCTTTATTAGATGTCACAGGGAAATAAAAAAGACCTTATCTTTGGTACACATGCTTAACCTAGTTGTCAACACAAATTTTTTATTGGTCTTGTATCAATGGCATCTTTAATTTTTAATTTAAATGCGCCTGACATTTGGAAAGCTCATCACAGGAAAGCTAAATGGAAAAAAAATTGCACAGAACACAGTCACAAAATAAATGTACCAATGGAACTTACTTTGCTTTGCAAATATTCTTGGTATTCTATGTTATACTTCTTTAAAAGGTCCTTCTTCAATTCATCTGTCCTTGGGAATGCAATCTCCTTCAGTTTCTTTTAAAAATATATATACATATTGATTAGTGGGGAGTTTCAGTATACTCTTTCAGATCATCAGCAGAGAAAGGAAAACAGCTGGTACGTGGATTAGAAATCAAGTCACAAGTAACCAAAGATGAAGGCAGAAGAATAAACCTCTTTTTTTCTAGGGCTCCAAAGTATAACTTTTTGGCAGGGCAAGAGAGGAGGAAAAAAAATCCCTTCTGTAAACCTTTATCAGCTCCACTGATTGGTAAGCATTTTGTTGAGGCAGGTATCCTATTTTTACATCACTGGCACGTAAGTACGAATGGCACAGTATGGAAACTATATAGACACAGAGCCAGAAGGTATGTTAGATTATGAAAAGCAGCTAGAGTACTTAATATAAAAATATAGATTCCTAATATTCATCCCATAGAAGCAATACTTCTAATGGAATGATATGGGGTCAGGGAAAAAGGATTTCAAAATTTTTCTCAGTGATTCTTGATTACAGACCAATCTGGAAATCTAAAGCTGTATAGCTATTCTTTCCTTTTAGTTAAGCACTGAGAAATCAAAGGCTTAGAGGAATGAAAAGACTTGTCCAGTGTCACACAACTCTCTGGTGGACCAGTTAGAAATCAAGCCCTGTTCTTTCTCCAGCCAGGGCTCTCCTACTAACATTTCTGTTCTTTCATTCATTTACCATTTATTCATTCTAGCCATTTATTCAACAAGAGTATGACAAGGGGAATACATATACTTTTCGAGATTAATTTTTCTCTGCCAAAAAACCCAATGTTAATATTTTTTTTTCCAGTGTTAATCTTAAAGTAGACTTAGTCATTCTAGTAGCCTGGGGCTTTCCATTTTCAAGCAGAAATTCTCTGAACCTGAATGAATACAAAATACAGTGGCAATGTTATGAACAAGTACCACAATGAAGTGTACTTTAGACGAGAGTGTAGAAATCAAATAACACAGATGACCCTTTAATACAGTTAAAGTCCTAGTGGCAGGCGGTCTCAGGCTTACACAAGATATGAGAGCCTTTGTTTCATTCATACGGTCAAGTGTCCTCCATGAGTTACTTAAAATTTCATGCCTTGATTGGCTTTGCATACACTAGCTTATCTTTGTCCACAAAAGGTCAACCCAACATTGGGAGATATTTTTAAAAAATTTTCTTTAGAATGTCTATATACATTCTTATGCTCCAAATAATCGAAATTATATTATGCCACAAACGTCGATGATCTAGGTTTGCCATTCTCCTTTCAAAGCTTTGTGGAAGAATAAGGGGCAGCAGAAGTGAATGCAAGTCTGTACAACCAACTAGGAGCCTTGATCAGTGTAAAGGAAACGTTTGCATTTCTGGCTTTTATTAGTTTTTTTTAATTGACATGTCCCTATCTATTTCAGAAACATTCATTTTCCTTGAGAATATATCAGGCCCCTCCTTACACACTTTTTAATCTAATAGGACCAGAACTATAAGAGAAAAATAACTACAAAGTTTATGTTGCCTCAAACACCCACAATAATTTTCATATAGTTAGTAAGTTCAAAGCTATAAGGAATAATCAACAGCATTGGAAATAACTCTCAAAACAAGTTTGGAGAAATAGCGATCCATTTTCAAACCTCTGAGAAGGATTGTAAAATTATTCTTTTTTCACACCATGTGGTGATAGGGCACATTTTTGACCTTTTTCTTTCCCTTTGTTAGAGTTTCGATTAGACACCCCACGGTGGTTTAGTAATGGTGATTAAATGTCTAAGAAGAAATCGAAACGTCGCTGCTAATGGAAGGAATGTGGTGCTTCAACTCTCCAGAGGATGAGACAGAGGAGGAAAGGAAGAGGGAGTGGATCAATAATGGATACTTGTGGAGCATTTGATCCCACAGGGGAGACAACCCCGCACTACCTTCATAATATCCTGCTTTTCCGGCACTGCACATTGCTGGTAATCCCGATGGCTGGGAAGCTTTTCTACAAACAAGCTATAGAAAGGCAAAAACACATCATTACTTCCACATGACCAAGAAGTTCAATAATTATTCCTAAGAATAAGGACCCTTTAAAAAATTAGATGGCTAATAGTTTTATTATTTACCTTATTCTTCCTGCCATCCTTTCATCAAGGATCAGCCCTAGTATTACTAGGGCATTGAAAGGTAAAACCAAATAAAGACCAGAAGTAAACCGGTCATCCAGTCCATTTTGATCCATGAGACGACATGTGTTGCAGAACAGAACTGCTCCATGGAGTTGTCGTGACTATAACTTTTATGAAAGCAAATCACTAGGGCTTTATTCCATTGTACCAGGGGATGGGTTCAAACCATTGACCTCTATGTTTGTAGCTGAGCACAAATCATCATCCCATCTTCTTATTGCTGTTGTTACGTGCCGTTAAGTTGTAGGTGACTCATAGGGAATCTATGAACAAAAGACCTGAACACCTATATAACTTTCATCATTTCTTCAAGTTCATAGGGTTTCCGGAAGCAAGCTATTATGAAAGTCAATGCCACTCCTTGCCAAGCTTGTTATAGTCAGGGAGCTCCACCAAACATTGTCTACCCTGGATAACAATTGTCGCATTTGACACAACAGTGTCACAGTTTTTAGCTTCACAGCAACCATGAATTACCTCTGTACAGCAAGTGCACAGACCAGTGCAATCCAACCACCTAAAACACCGCTGTGGAGTTGGTGCAAATACACCGAGACTTTCTATTTAGTTTCCAAGTCTTAACAGGAGAAAACTATCCATCTTTCTCCTGTAGAGTGCCTGGTGGATTTGAACAGCTGACCTTTCCATTGGTAGTCCAATGCCTTACACACTATGACTCCAGAGCTCTTAATTTTGACATTTTAGGGTAGTTAATGTTAGCAAATCGAGGACTGATGTTAGCTGGAATTAAATTAAGGTCAGGGATAGGTTTTAAATAGAAGTCATGTCAGCCTTCTCATGTCTTATGCTACTCTCTTTGCCTATCAGAGTAGCACTGAACCTAAGTGTGCTGCTGGCCACAAAGTCTGTATAAAAAGGATGAAAGAAAAACACAATCCCTTCACACCACTGAAAAATGACTGACGATGAGTTGGTGGTCCCTCCTCTAACGTAACAAAACCTCTGAACTGAAAATTCATCATTTAGAGAAATGACTAGTATATTAGAAAATCTAGAACTAACTAGAAATTCCTAGTGGATTAGAAGGTGTTCATTGTGAATGCTGGGGAGTTCTTTCCTTTTCCACTGGCTTCTTGAGGAACAAGGAGCAGAAGTGAAAGCAAGTTTCTACAGTAAAGGAAATTTTTTGTTTTTCCAGTTTTTATTAATTTTTCACTGATGTATCTCTATCCCACAGAACTGTGCTGCTTCATCTTGTTAGGTGACGTTAAGTTGAATACAACTCATGATGACTCTGTGAACAGCAGACCTGAACCCTGTCCTGTCCTGTGCCATCCTTATCAGCTGACCCCATCACGTGAGCCCATTGCTGCCATCACCTTGCCTGTCCAGCTCATGGTGGGTCTTCACTTCTTTCTCTAACCCTCCACCTTTCCAAGCATAATGTCCCCCTTTAAGGCACAGCTTCTCCCAGCAACATGCCAAAGTATGAGAGATGAAACTGCCATCCTCGCCTCTACGGAGCACTCGGGGCCGCACTTTCTCCGAGACATATCTGTCTGTTCTTCCGGCAGACCACGGGGTAGTTATCACTCTTCTCCAACACCACAGTTCAAAGGCATCAATTTTTCTTCTGCCATCCTTGGTGCTCCACTGTTTAAAATCACACATTCATTCATTATTGCATTTAATCTCAATTATAAGGTAGACAGGGACTTTGTTTCTCAAAGGAGAAACGTAAGGCATGAAGAGGTTACACACATTGTTAGTCGCCTATGACTTTATGGTGGTGGCTTTATGTACTGTTGAGTCAATAGACTCAAGTCTGACCGTGTAGTGGGGTTTCAGAGGAGGGTGAAAGAACATGAAGAGACTGCCCATCTTTCTCCCTCAGAGCAGCTGGTAAATTCGAACAGCTATTTAGTGGCGAAAGGACCTCAGAAATTATCTCCCACAAGTGCTTCATTTACAGATGGTAAACTGAGGCCTAGGGAGTAAAGTGATTATAAATCATCACACCTGTAATGACTAAAGAGCATTTAAGCAGCAGGTGACGCAGTAACTCAAGTGTCAGTCACCACAATTGCAATTCCACAGAAGTGTACACAAAACTGAGCAGAAGGTGAAAACTAAAATTATTAATGGCTAATTACGATTCAGAAACAAAACTTGTGGAACATTTCTGTCAAGAGTGAATGATAAGCTCTAAGTTCATAAGAAGAACTCTATTGTGCAGTAGTTTAGTGCTAGGTGGTGACAACAGTTATTTTGCTCAGTTGTTAACCAAAAGGTTGGAGGTCCAGGTCTACCCACAGGTACCACAGAATAAAGGCCTGGAGAACAACTTTAGATAACTGAATCATCAAAACTCTTACCAGGCACAGTTCCGCTCCAACAAACCTGGGTTTGCCTTAAGTCACCATGGATTTGATAATGACTGTCTTGCTTTTGCTTTTATGTGAAACTGTTTCCTATACCTGAGCCCTATCTTAACTATGATCTCCAACTTGTCCTTAGTCTCACCCACTGATTCAAATTTTTTAACAGTGACTGCATGTTCCAAAAGCTATTACAATCTGGCTCATAAAGCTTATATCCCCATGGGGAAGGAACGCATTAACAAGAAGTGGTATTTATGAAGAATGGGGACAGAGGCATGGAGGTTACTGGCTTAGCTGACCAACAGGGGATCTGATCGTCCTGAACTTCATCCCATCCCTGACTTTACTGGGTCTCTCCTCTCTGGTATAAGGATACTCTTGAGCATAGTGGTTGGTCATTTAAAAGTCGCCATTTAATGTTTCTGGAGACTGCAAAATTGGTCTGAATATAAAAATCAGGCAGGCAAACAACTTTATCAAAATATTATTTAAATATGTTCCAGTTTTCTCATTACAAACCAGAAGACTTACGTTATAAATTTATTATAAAGAACAAAGGCATTTTCTAAATTCCCTTCTTCCAAATACACAGAGGCCATCCTCTCCATCTCTACTCCAGATCGAAAGTAGCGGCGTGGAGTGATGTCTTCACTGATTGTAATATTACACCCAAGCTTGCTGAGGGCTCGGACTCGCTCTTCTGGGCTCACGGAGACATCTGTGTGGTCAGGCAGAGCAGCTAACTTTTTCTGTAAAGCAAAGTTGGAATTATGATAAGAAAAGCCAGTAACTGAAATCATAGGTGGACCCGACTGGTATCATTGGTACATGAGGCCAATGCTTAAGGAAATGCATTTTCTCTGAGTTCTTCATGACAAGAGGTTTTTGTTGTTTTTGTGAAAGACAAAAGATATGCTCTACACATCAGAAAGCTACACATTTCCAGGACAGACGTGCATTTTTATTAGTATAGGAGCTCTTTTAATGCCCAGAACACAATTACGTGGTAGCTTCTGGGCAGACAAATGTTTCAGATCATTTTAGGTCACGTATCATTTACCTTTATATGCCCAGTGATGCTTCCATCCTGCACTTGGAGCAGGTCAAGACAGGATTAGACTCATGTCATTCTACACTGAAGCAGTTCTGAGAGTTAACCTGGCATTAGTCATTATAAACCTAATTCTGTTCCATAATATTTTTGCTTTCAGGTCCTCCTTGAATCTTCACTGACCTACACATAAATCCTAGAGAAGTCTTTCAAGTCAAACACCATTCCCTCCATTCCCTTCCCCCACTGATTTTAGAATATAAATGGACTATGAGACCACTACATAATGATAATCACACTTTTAATTACTGGACTTGCCAAAAGAACAAAAAAGTCTGTGCTGAAGAAGGTGAAACCAGGTTGCTCCTTGGAGACCAGGATTTTGAACTCTGCCTCACATACATTGGCATGTTGCCAGGAAGGACCAGTCCTTGGAAAAGGGTTATGCTTGAAAAAGTAGAGTGTTAGCACAGAAGAGGAAGACTCTGGATGAGACGGATTAACCCAGTGCCTGGGGTAATGGGGGTAGACGTGTCTGGGACAGTCAGATTGGCACAAGATAGGGGAGAGTTCAGAGTTACTGTTCATAGGGTCACTATGAGTCATAGTTGACTCAACAGTATGTAAAAACCACCACCACCAATGCCATCTAGTCTACTTGATGGAACTTTTATAGCAGATAAAAAGATCTGCATTGACTTTTTTCTTTTTTCCTCCCCTACTAGTTTATTTACAAAACTTGAATATAAATTCAAACAAATTCTTTCAATTTCCCTCACCTCAATCATTGGGTTGTACAATTTGAATTGACTTTTAAGGCTTAAGGCTTAATGTGCAACCAGGGAACAATAAACTTAGTTCTTATGACTTAATGATAAGTCCGAAGCAGGCCAAGTCTCTTGTCCCTTCCCTTTCTCTTCTTAACTAGTCTTGAGCTGAGTGAGTCCTCTCTTCCTCAAGAAAACTCACAGGGCCTGAGCTTCCTCTCTCGGAGGCCTCCAGCTCCTCTCCTGTGATTATATGGACAAGCCAGTTCAACTGAAGCAGTAGGGATAGGAGAAAGCATCAGTGTCTCACAGGGCCAAATGAACTGAAAGAAAGTTCCACACTCCATTTGTGTTCTTACCTGGTGGTCTGTGTCTGTAAAAATAACACATAAGAAAAAGGTATGGAACTGTTCTATACTGTAAAACACAGGTTCGCCATGAATTGGAATTGACTTGATGCCAATGAGTTTCTTTGGTTTTGGTTTGGTGTCTTCTATCTTTCTTGGTTGGCCCAGAATTCTGAGAGTAGTAAAGTGAGAAGGTTGTTGTTATGTGCCATTGAGTCAACTACAACTCATAGAGACCTTATGAACAATGGTTCTGAACTCTGCCCTATCCTGAGCCAACTCACTTCTCTGACACACCTGAATTCATTGTCAAAGTCACTGTGTCAATCCATCATGTTGAGGGTCTTGCTCTCTTTCTTTGACCTTCAGCCTTTCCAAGCAAGGTGTCCTTCTCCAAGGACTGGCCCTTCATGACAACATGCCCCAAGTATGTGAGATAGAGTTTGAGAATCCTTACCTCCAAGGAGCATCCTAGTTTCATTTTCTCTAGGACAGACCTGATTGTTCTCTGGGCAGTCCATGAGGTGGTCAATACTCTTCTCCAACACCACAGTTTTAAAGGCCTTGGTTCTTCTGTCATCCCTAGTCATTGCTCAACTTTCAGATGCAAAGTAAGTCAGTGAAAGGACCATGGTTTGGATTAGGCACATCTTAGTCTTTAAAATGACACTGTTGTTCTTGAATACTCTGAAGAATTCCAATAGACTTTCTCAATGTAACTTGTCTTTTCATTTCCTGACTGCTGCTATCAGGGGTGTTGATTACAAATATGAGTAAAATAAAATCATTGTCAACTTCAATCTTTTCTTCTTGTATCATGATGTTGTCCATTGGCCTAATGGTGAGGATTTTTGATTTCTTGATGTTTAGATGCAATCAACACTGAAAGCTGTAGGCCTCGATCTCCTGCATCAGGTGCTTCAGGTCTCACTTTGAGCAGCAATGTTGTATCATCTGAATAAAATAGGTTATTGATCTGTCTTCCACCAAACCTGATGATACAGTCTTTATATAAAGTTCACCTTCTCAAATGATCTGTTCAGCATATAGACTGAAAAGGTATCAAGAAAGGAGACATCTGTAATGCATACCTTTATTATAAACCATGCCATGTTCCCATGCTGCTTGTACAACAGCTTTTTGGTCTAGGTATACGTTTCACATGAGCACAATCAAGTGTTCTGGGATTTCTAGTTTTTTCAATGTTAGCCATAATGTGTTGTGATCTACACAAATGCCTTTGCACAGTCTAAAACACAGAGGGATATCCTTCTGCTATTTCTGTTTTCTACCAAGATTTGGCGGACATCAGCAATGATATTCCTGGTGTCATGGCATCTTCTCAATCTTGCTTGAATCTCTAGCAGTTCTCTGTCAATGTACTGTTCTGTCTTTGAATACTTTTCAGAAAAAAAGATTGCTTGCATATGATAGTAATTATATTGCTTGATAATTTCCACATTCCATTAGATCACCTTTTTAAGAATGAGAATTAATGTGGATCTCTTTCAGCAAGTTGGCCACGTAGCTAGCTGTCCTCCAGATTGCTTGTCACAATGTGGTCAGCATGCCTAGGTCTCTATGTATTTGTTCAAATATGCCAGTTGATAATTTATCAATTCCTAGGGCTTTCTTTAGTGCCAATGCCTTCAGTGCAGATTAAATGTCTTTATTACCATTGGTTCCTGATCAAATGTGACTTCTTGAATTGGTTCTGTGTCAGCCAATTCTTTCTGGTCCAGTAACTTTTTGTATCCTTACCATCCTCTTTTGATGCTTCCTATGGGACTTCACCTCAAATTAAACATTTTTCTTTCTCTTTATTTTCACATCCTTTTCTACTACTCTTCTAATTCTCTAATAGATTCACTAGTTTTAGAGAACCTAGTGGCAAATTCTTCATGTCAGAGACAGGAATTCAACCTCATGAACTCTGAATCTCTTTCCCAGCTGTGAGACCTCAGTCTTCACAGTTCCTGAACCACGCGTGTGTGTTAAACTCAGCAGTTCTAAATAAAAACAGTGCTATTTCATCACCTATAAGAGCTTCTATGACATGAAAACAATAGCGGGGGAAAATGACAGTGAAAATCAGGGAATTCACTCAAGGAGATTTCTCTTATCCAGCAAGCATAAAACGCTATTCAGATACTGCACAACCTCATGTGCCAGAACCGACTTGGTAGCAAGTATTACTAAACTGCCCACCGCGAGTTACAATTACCTGTCTACAAAGTGCTTCTCTCCACTTATAAATCTACTCATTTCTATTCCCTAGCTTGTAGCATATTCCATGTTGACATGGATGATACCACTAAATGTTTATCTATTAAATCAATGGAAAAACTGAGGAAGAGAGAACAGAACAAGCCGAGTATAATTTGTTTTTTAACCTAAGTATTAAAATAAGATATTTTTTCCTTTATTGAATTGCTCAAATTTAAAACTGATTTCAGAGATAAACATGGGTCTCTCTCTTTCTCTGTGTATGCATGGATGTGTGTTAAAGTCCATCTAGGAGCACATTTGATGCTAACTTTGGAAGACAGGCTTAACAATCTGCTTCCAAAAGTCACAGGCTAACCACAATCATATAACTCACAATCATCAATCAGTATAAAGCTTTTCTATATAGGAGGGCTCTGGTGAAAGCTCTGGGTAAAGAGCTGCCCTGCTGACCCAAAAGCAGGCAGTTTCAATCTACCAACTGCTTCAAGAGAAAAAGGTGGACAATCTCTTCCAGTGTGACTTACAACCTCTGAAAACCCACTGAAGTTGGTTCTCACTGGACAGCATATAACAACGACAGAAACTTAGCTAGGTATAGTTGGGAGTGAGTTTCTTGACGAAAATCACAAAATTCCGGATCAGAATGCCTGCTATTCATGGGCCCAGAGATGTTGCCGTTGTTGTTAAGTGCCCTTGAGTTCGTGATGACACACAGAACCCTATGAAAAAGTGACCTGAACTTTTCCCTGTCTTGTGCCACCTTCATGATCTTTTGGATGCTTGAGCCCTCCGTTGCTGTCACTGTGACACTCCATGTTGTTGAGGGTCTTCCTCTGCATCTCTGACCCTCCCTCTTTCTCATCATAATGTCTTTTTCCAAGGACCGTTCGTAGTCACCATCCCTGCCTCTAATGACCACACTGGTCGCACTTCCACCACACTTCGTCACTTCTCACTGCTTGTTGCTCAAGGGGAGAGTGATTTGGAAGAAGGGAGCTATAAAGACAGTGTCCATTTATTGAGCCTCCGTAGTAGGCTGGTGATAATATTGTTTTCAGCCGTCATAAATCACAAGGTGAAAAAGCAAAGCCAAGGAGGTGAGTTATGTGCCATATTCACATGGAAATAGGAGACAGAGTTAAGCCCATCTGATAATGGCAGAGATAGCACAAGCGGGTGAATGTAATCAATGCCACTGTATTGTATATGTAGAAATTGTTGACTTAGCAAGTGCTTTGTATATTTATTTTTACCAAATAAGTAAATAAGCCCATCTGTTTTTAAATTTCCTGTTACCTCCTCCCCAGCAGAGTTTCTCCTAAGCTAGATAAAGTGTGCATCATGCTATTAGTAAAGGAAAACCCGAGGCAAGGAAGAGTTTCAAGTATGCATCTTACAGCAAACATCTTAAAGGAGATACTATACTTATGCTGTTGAGTCAGAACTGACTCAGAGTTGATCCGCCAATGGATTTTCAGAGGCTGTAAATGGCACGAGAGTAAGATGCCCATTTTTCTCCACTGGTACAGCTGGTAGATTTAGACAGCTTGCCTTAGGATTTGCAGTGCAACTTCTTATCACTACGCTACTAAAGCTCCCTATCTACATAAGCCTCGGACTTTCATCTGGAGAGAAATGGATGCATAAAGAGACACAATTACCTGCTATGCTTAGCACTGAAATTTTCTTCTTCAGTATTCTACCAAGAGATTACCCTCCTGGCATCTAGTCAGACCATACTTTTGTGGGGAGAAAAAAAAACACCATATATTTTTAATTTTAGTGAAGATACCATTATTAGTCACTTCCTCCAAGGAGAAACTACACAGATGTATGAAAAACCATAAATGCTCAATTTCTTCAAGTAATTATGACTCATGTCACATTTGGTATGTTTCTGTTCTTCTTTTGGGGTTTTTCAATCATACTTACAATATAAGCGGGTACAACCTACCCAAGAATTCACAGTAAATGGCTGATCCATGTTGTCTTCTCTGCAAACTGAAGGTATTCACTGCTTTCTTCTCAGTTGCTTCATCTATTTCAAAGAAAAATAGCAGACAAAGGGTTAGACTCCAAGTCTCAAATCCCAAAGCCCAGGGCTACTTCTGCCTCAGAAGAATGTGAACACGTAAAAATAATCTATGCATATTAACCTGAGTTTTTTAGAAAGACTAATGGAAATACCTTTCTAAAAATAGAAAACTACAGGTAGTTTTGACTTCTTGAAGCAGAACATTAAAAGGAGACTTGGGAATGGACTTAATATTTGACTAGTAATCAATGTGAGTGTGTGGAAGTGTTGTTTGGAACTCTATACAAGGTTATAAAGTAGGTTTACTTTTGTCATTGGGATAAAGAATATCATGATGGTTAGAGGACAGACTCAGTCACAAGGCAATCTGGGTTTCAGGTAGGTCTTACCAAGTTCTGCGTTGGTATTCTAAGATGGCCCAAGGACTCCCGCCTCTGGTACATAACCACAACTTTATGTAATTACTGTTTTCCCCCTTGAGTGTGGCTAGAAGCTTTAACTTGTTTTTAACTAATAGAAAATGGCAAAAGTGATGAGATTGTATATTTCCATAATAATAATATGCTATAAGATAAAGATGGGTATCGAGTCCTCTAAGCAGTTGACTTTAAGCTCACTGAAAGGGAAACCATCTCGAGTGGGCCTGAATCAGATGAGCTCTTTAGAAGAAGGCCTCTCCAGCTAACCTTGTAGAAGTAAGTCACTAAGAATATACAACTACAAGGAAATGAATTCTGCTGGTTCCCGTGAGCCTGGAAGAGGACACCAAGTCTCAGATGAGACAACCATCCAGTCCCATTCTGAACTGCAGTCAGTCTGGTGAAGCCCTGAGCAAGAGGACAAAGAAAATAAGCTGTTTCCTCCTGATACACACAAAACTGTGTAAGTACAAATTGTTTCAAGCTGTGGTAATTTATAATGCAGCAAGTGAAAAGCAACACATTAGTTGTTGAGTTCAAAGTTCCTGTGCATCTGAAAAATGTGGAAATAAGAGAATCTATTATTAGAGTAATAATCGAATCTATCACTATTTAAGACCCTCAAAGAGATAGACTGATGTAGTATCTGAAGCAATGAGCTCAAATGTGTCTGGGATGATAAGAACGGAGTGGTATTGGACAGGGTTGAGATCTGTTGTCACTATGAGTCATACTCGATGCACTTAACAATTATTATAATTATACTTATGCCTATGACAAAGATTAAATGAGTTACTATATATATATAGATAGATCTCTCTCTCTCTCTCTCTCTCTCTCTCTCTATATATATATATATATAGGCTTAGTACCTCATACATCTAAAAACCAAAACCATACTACCATCAAAGTCAATTTTGACTCACAGCAGCCCTCTATTGAGTTCCTGAGGCTGTAAATTTTTATGAGAGGAGAGACTATGCATCTTTCTTCCTGGATAGGAACAACTGACTTTTCAGTTAGCAACCCAATGCATGACACACTATGCCATCAGAGCTCCTTAGTGTCTAGGACACAACGGTATTATACACTAATCTGACTCCTGGTGACCCCATGTGTTTCAGAGGAGAACTGCACTCGATCTAGTCTGCAGTGGCTGTAATGTTCTAGAAGTATGTATTAATAGATAACCACGTTCTACAGCAACAATGAGTGGCAAACGGGTTAGTAGCAGAGCATAAATTATGCATCATATAAGAACCTTAAAGATTCTATCAGTGGTGGTGTTGCTGCTGTTAGGTGTTGTCAAGTGCGACTCATAGCAACTCTGTAAGTAACAGATCTGAACCCTTTCCTAACCTGTGCCATTCTCACCATCTCAGAACACTTGAGCCCATTGCTGCATTAGCTATTATTACCTAAAACAACGCACATTGCTACTGAGTCAGAACCAACTCACAGCTGGCCCTCCACTGGGCTTCCCAGGCTGTAAATCACACAGGATAAGATTACCCATCTTTCTCCTGAGGAACCACTGGTGGATTAAAAAAAAATTACTATATATGGTGCTTAGTTCCTAGTACGTCTACAGGTGTGGTCTTTGAATTAGTAGCACAATTTCTTTCTGACACACCAGCAGAATTTCTTCAGCTGGTATTAGAGCTTATATTTTGCAGGTAAGGAAATTGAGGATCAAAGAAGTAAACATACCCAAGGTAAGTAATTTAATACATTTTAGTCCCTTCTTTTTATACTAGTTTATATCAAGTCAGTTTTAACCACTTCTCTGTTCTATGGTAATTTAGTTTTTGTTCTACACATATTAATTATATGGCTTTTGACAAGTATCTTCTCTCAGCTCTTTGTGAAATGTGAAATGAATGGTCTGGCTACATTCTTTCCAAGCATTCCACAATTCTAGAAATACCAGGAGTAGATTGATGTGTGATGAATTGCTCTGATACATAGTTCTTTAGCAATGGTCTCTCAATACCCCAAAATGACAGGCTGTTGTCGTTATGTACCATGGAGTCGAAACCAACCCACAGAAGGTTTTTAAGAGGCAATTAATCTCACAGGAGGAGATTGCTCATCCTTCACCCAAATGACTGGCTAGAACTATGTAAATAATCAAAGATTTCAGATTTCTACCTCAAGAGAGAGAGAACCAAAGTCAATGGATCAATAAATAGCATCTTGATAAATGGGAAAACAAAAACTGTCAAGAATTTCCTTTTACTTGAGTCCACAATCAATGTCCAGGAAAGAAACTGTTGGAAAATCAAATAATGTATTACAGTGACCTCATATGCATGTGAAAGCTGGGCAATCAATGTTGCCACTAGTTGCTCTTGAGTTGGTTCTGACTAATAACAGCCCTTTACACAACAGAGCGAAACACGGTCCAGTCCCGAGCCATTCTCACAATTAATGTCTTTAAATTTTAAAAAAGTCTTTAAATCATGATGCTGTCAAAAAATATTAAATACACCTTGTTCTTGTTGTTGTTATGTGCCGTTGAGTAGCTTGCGACTCATAGAGACCCTATGTGCAACAGCCCTAAACTCTGCTCTGTCCTGTGCCAATCGCACTGTCTCTGACACTCCCATCCCAATTATCCCAGTCACTGAATCAATCCACCTCATAGAGGGCCTTCCTCTCCTCCGCTGTCCCTCCACCCTCCCAAGCATGATGTCCCTCTCCAAGGACCGGTCTCTCCTCACAACATGTCCAAAGTATGTTAGACGGAGCCTCAGAATCCTTACCTCCAAGGAGCCACCTGGTTTAACCCTTTCCAGGACAAATCTGTTTTCCTAGCAGTCCATGCATGGTATTCTCAATACTCTTAGAATAATGAACAAACCTGATTTTGAAGAAGTGTAGCCAGAACGCTCCTCAGAAGGGAGAACTGGCAAACACTCTCTCCCGTATTTTAGACTTGTGGCCAAGAGGGATCAACCCTGCAGAAGGATAAGATGCTTAGTAAGTAGAGAGTCAAGAAGACCCTCAAGGAGATGAAATGACGCCATGACTAAATCAATGGACTCAAATATAATGAGGGAGCTCTAACTAAATTGCTGGCATCTAACAACAGCACAATACTACGGGAACAAAAGTACATAAAAATTATCATAAGGATTGGAAGGAGACCATGCAAAAACAAGTCAGTGAGCTCTATCAAGGTCAGTTTGCCATCCTGTCAAGCTTAAATGAGTCAATCTCACAGAGCTGGAGAAAGACATCCCTGTCATCAAGAAGAGTCTAGAGTGAACTGTGCACCTTTTTAATCAAGGACATGGGGTCTTTGTGATTAGAACCTCTTAGACCCAGAATAAACAGCAAATGCTAAAGACTGTGAGATCCAGGTCTGCCTGGTGCATGGGGGAAAAGGCTGAGGGCATTTGGGAAGGAGGTTTGTTTTGGGAATGAAAAGCCCTATAACACTTGCCCATGCAAATGTCTTGGGCAGGGACAACCTGGAGGATCCTGAACAGAAGTTTTCTTATAGCGGTGTGCAGCTGGGCATCCTTGAACAAGAAGCTTACCAAATGGAGCTAACAGAGTTGTGATACTTCCCTACTGTCCAAGCCTTGCTCCTGGAGAGCAGGGGACCAGGCAGTGAAGGATTAAAGGCAAGAAAACCCTGCATGTCCAGTTTACCCCCGGCATGGGGAAAGCTGGCGGCAGATACTTAGAAGGCCCTGTTGCAGAAGCTCTGGGGATGCTGTACTGGGATGTTCCAGCTAGCAATAAAACCAGCAACCTTGGAAACCTGTACAGCCCCCTCGGAAGCCACTGTAGCATAGTGGTAACTAGAGACAGTGATGACATGAACATCACACCTGACCTGAAGCATGGTTATCTGAATAGCAACATATATAATTTGAGGAAACATAAGCATTTCCCTTTTGGAAATCTGTTGTTATCTTTAATGTTTGCTTTCTATAAATAATAATAATAATGCCTTTCCCTTTGCTAACACCATGTAAGGTAATTCTGGTGGTCTAGGGCTAGGAAGTTGCACTGCCAATCTAAAGGCAGGTGGTTCAAAACCACCAGATGCTTCATGGGAAAAGATGGACAATCTCCTCTCATATGTTTTCCTGCTTCTGAAAACCCACTGGAGGGTAAGCTAAGAGTTGGTTCCAATTTGGCTGCACATAACAACAATAATACCACTCTGTGCAAGTGTCTTGTGTGTCGGGCGCTCATGGAATAGCTGATGACAGTGAGTCTCAGTCCCAGCATCTAGGAGAGTGGATCATAGTTCATGTGCATGTGCAATGAAAATAGACACACGTGAACATACACAGATCAAACCCTTCTTACCATTTTCGGGCTTGAATCTCAGCTTGGAAACCATTCAAGGCAAAAACTATTCCAATCTTTCCACGCTGTGCCCTCCAGAGAGCCCCAGAGTAACCTTGTGAGTGAAGTCCGTTGGTTACAGAAATGTCTAAGAAAGTCATGACACAGAGAAAGCTACCTTCACATTGTGGCTTAAACCCAAATTAGCGGATTTGGCACCACTGAATGGAGGCAATTTTCAGTGAGAAGACATAAACCAGAACACACCACCAACAAAAAAAGCTTTAGTAGTGGAAAGGAGACAGAACAAGAGTTTATGAAAAGTGTTGGTGGAGAAAGAGACAAGGCAATACTAGAAAGTCATTTATTAAAGTCTTGAGAAAATCTAGAGTTATTTCTCTGAGTAGGTACTCAGCTCTGTATACAAGGCAAATATAATTTAAAAAGTGAGGAAGAGGGAAACAGTGATTCTTAAATTTTACCGTGCCAGAACAAAACAAAACAACGCACAAGCCTGAGACTGGCTTAAAAATGCAGATATCTGGATTTCATCCACCAAGATTCTGCATCTGTGGCTTTGAACCCATGCATCAAGTGATTTTTGAGACATAAGGGTTCCAAACTGCTCTTGGGAGAGATGCAGCCTTTACAGGTCCAGTGAGAACAAATGGAGCAGATTCTCAGTTGTAAGCAAAGTCATTCATCCTTTAATTCATAGACACTGGAAAGATAACAATTTTCCCGGGGTTCTAGAACAGTTTAGGTCTAGAGGTTACCAATCCAGGAATATCTATCACCCCAAATTGCACTGCAGCAGTGCTGGCTGCATGGTGAAGATGACACGCTGTCAGTGAGGGCCAGGAGACCTGCTGGTGCCACCACTAATAACAGCAGCAAGGCCAGCAACCAGATGTGCTCAGAGAGCTTCATATAGGTGTTTATTTCCTCACTTCTCCAGCTCTTATTGCAAAGTGTCAGGAGGAAGTGTCTGATTGGCAGAGCCTGGGTCACATGTCTGCAACCTGGATGCCAAAAAAAAAAAAAAAGGCTGAAAATGCAAATACCTAGTGCATTACTCAGCTATAGGAGGTAGAGGAATAGAGTTTGTTAGCATGAGATGTGCCAAATAAGTGAGTGACCAAAGATTCAGGAGTGAATAGCCCCAAACAATTGTGCAATTAAAAATAAAAAACAACCCACAAATCTGTAAGGAGCTTCTAAAAGAGTAAAAATGTTTAATTAAGCCTATCTTGAGCACCTAACAACAACATAGTTGTTAACAGAGTGTGCTTATGTAATCTTTTTTTAATTAAGATTTTAATGAAAGTTTATAGAGAATTTGGATTTCCATTCATTCATTGTTGCACATTTTCCTCCCTGTCCTCCCTCCCCCCCCCCAGTTCGCTTTTTTCTTTGGGGAAAAAACCTCTTCATTATTATATAGTCACCTTCCCCCTCCCCCCCCACACCCCTTTACTATGAAGCTCTTATTCTGGGCTCCTGTCATGCCAATAATACCTAATCATATATTCCTTTCCTTATAAATGTCTCTTTCCATTTCTAATACAACAAACATAAACAGATGTAATCTACATACACAAAACTTTTCCACATAATTGTAAATGAGTCTTGAGGCCAAAAATTTTTTTAACTTCATCTCCGGATAAAATCTACAGACTCCTGTACAATGGTTAAGTATTCAGCTGCAAACAAAAGGGTGGTGGTTCAAACAGTACCAGAAGGGAAGTGGAAGTGGGGAACCCAACACCTCATGGCTGCCAGCTCATAGTCAAACTCTCTTTTTGGTTTCTGAGGGTATAAATCACATGGGAGGAAATCATCCTCCCATAAATTAGTTGTCGTTGGTGGATTCAAACTGTCAGAGAGGCATGGTTATGGGGTCAGCCGTGGAACACCCTAAAACCTACTCCACCAGAACTCCCACACCACACAAAATGTGGCCACGGGTTCCAGTAAAGATTACAGTCACAAAAACTGTGGGGGCAGTTCTAATTCTCATGTGGGGTTGCTATCAACTTGGATATTCCTAACAACTAATCAAGTCTGCTAAAAAGCAAAACTAAACTGAAAAAAAAATCTATACTACTTCATTTTGACCCATAAGACTTAAAACAGGGAGGGGGATAACAAGTAGCACTTTCCTTTTGTATTTGCTGTTGTTGTTTCATGCTGTCAAGTCGAGTTAAGGCTCACAGTGACCTTGCTAATATATTTAGAATATCTTAACTGAGGACAGGTTACAGATAACTTTTCACCTAGATCCCAAGATTCACAAAGATCAAGTGCAGCACGCTGGTATAAACACCTCAAAACTCATTCTTTCTTTCTGATATAATAATATAATCTTTATTTGACATATTGCTTCCCAAATAAAACCTAAATTGTCTAATCTTTCTTGGAATCTGTGAAACCATGTGACTGAGTTCGGCCAATGGCATATGAGGAGAAGAGTGAGGTCAAAGTCTGGAGAACTAATTGCCATTCGGTTTGCTCCAACCTACAGGGCACAGGAGAACGGCTCCAGAGCGTCTCTGAGATTATAAACCTTTATGGAAGCAGACTGTCTCACCTTTCTCTTACAGAGCAGCTGGTCGGTTTGAACCATCAAACTTCAGCTAGCAGCACAAATCACAGCTGACAGTGCCACCAGGGCTCTTTACAGTCTGGGTGGTGCCTTTTAAAGGAAAGGGCAGGTCTGACATCACCCTACTCCTTTCTCTTCCATCAGCTAGGATGCAGATGTGGAGCTGAGCCATCTTGAGTGCCGAGGGAAAGCAAGAGAAAAGGAACACCCGCATTAGCTTACTCTCTCTGTGCACTGTGAGTGGCAAACTTCTGTTGTTGCCACAGGAATGACTCAGCAATACTGCAGATCCAGACTACTGCCATAAAACAAATATTGCATCAGAGCAGGTCATGTGAAGTTCTGTGTTTCCCTGTGCATATAAAAACCATGTTTGCACTTGTTTGCAGTATATTGTGGTATTAAGTGTGTAATAGCTTTATGAATAAGTTTAAAAATATTATAAGAAATATCAAAACAGGACAGAGAGACATGAAGTGAGCATATATCATTGGAAAATTACACCGACGGACTTGCTCACAGGGTGAACAACCTTCAATGTACGAACGATGCATTTGTGTGAGACACCAAAATTGAAGTGCAATAAAAGAGAAAACAACAAATGTGATGTACGGAGAGACTGGAACTCTCAATCACTGCTTATGGGAATGTCAAAGGACACAACCATTATGGAAAGCAGTGTGGCACTTCCTTAGAATGTTGTTATGTGCTGTCAAGTCATTTGCGACTCATAGCGACCCTATGTACAACAGTCCTAAACCCTGCATATCCCGTGCCAATTGCACTGTCTCTGACACACCCATCCAGATT